GGATGGGATGATCGGAAGTCCAAATATCTGTTTGCAAATACATGCAGTAGGAATGATTCAACACATGTCCCAGATGTCTGGAAAATTCTACTACCCATACGACAGATGGGAGAGAACAAAGAAAACTATAAAACTCAAGTTTATAACTTGTGTGATTATAATTGATATGATTATGAACAATACATTTTGTTCGGAACGTCATCCAGTAAATAATACTGTTTCACTGTGTGATATATCTAATAAACAAACTAATATGGAATTACTTACTAACACAGTGCTCAATTTTTACACACCTACTAATTATTTATTTTATTCTGGTTAACCATTATTATCGACTTTATCACCAATAAAACACTGTTTTGTTTTTTCTTATTGTCACTTAACAGTGAAGCCTGTAAGTAGCTATTTTGTCCCATTAAATATTTGCTTTTACAAGGCTAAAACTACTCAATGTGGATACATTCGTTTTTGTATTTCAAATAAATCTATAATATCACTGATAACTGTGGCGTATTCTGAATCTTAGAAATCCCTGTATAATCTTAAATAATTTCCAAGTCTTGTTATGAGGATAAAACTTGGGCAATGTGGTAGAGTATAACTCCATTATGGATAAAATGCTTTATTTTGATAAAATCACACATTGTTATACAGTAATATTTAGTCATGACGTTTCGAGCACAAATTACTGCTGCTCATAATCATATCGAGGTATTCACACAATTTTCTTGCTTCCTTTGTATACATGAGTAAAAATTGATTAGACATTTGAAATAAATCGATATAAGATAAAGTACATTCGGAAATAATATTAGTGTTATCAATCAAATACAATCAGATGGGAAATAAGATGTTTTCATAGTAAAAATAAGTAACTTGTTAGAATGTTATAATGTGAATTGAATACATTTTAACATTATTTATTATCCTCTGATTTGACTGGTATTAATATCTTCCATATCTCTGGTATTTGCGTTGAGTCATTTCTGTAGCATGTGTTGTGTTTAGACTCGATGAACCAGGATTCAGTAATCAATCTCACTCTCCACCTACCTATGTTACTTCTTTGAATTTTAACCCTCTCCAACCCTATTGTGTGGTTGTGTGTTAATGCATGCAGTGCAATTGCTAACCTTTTTTCTGAATTACTCATCTTCGTGGGGTCATCCATTCTAACCTTAGCTAAGTTCTTATTTTCTGACAATCTGACTACCCCCAATCTACTGGTTTGACCCATGGAGTTGATTTAGTCCACAGTCATTGCAGATATTTTGCAAATTATATCATTTTGTTTAACTGGGTCCACCGGGTCCTTTAACCTACAGAGCTTGTCTCTGAGTGAGTGTATAGGTTTGAATGCCGCCCTAATTCCTGCTTTATTGGGAATCCTACACAGGGCCTCATATGTTCCCTATATGGCCTTATATTCTTTCTTATTTATGTTATCATTATTAGTTTTACCAATATATTAATTTTGCTTTTGACCTTTCCTAATCTTCCTAATGAGTTTTAGAGGATAGTTATTTATCACCAACGCTTCTTCTTCTATCCGTTTCATTTCACCGTTTAGGTTTTTTGTTGTACTACTTACTGCTATTGCTCGGTTTGTTAGAGGTTTAACTAAACCAAGAAGCAAATTCCTAGTCTTTCGGCTTGAGAAGTATGATAAATTTGTGATCAGTTCGGTTACCTTATGACATCTACATGCAAAATGCTTGATGTTACCGTTATATCAGAAACTGTAATACTTGTTAAGATACTCGTCAATACTTGTTTGTGTACTGCTGGAAATAGAAGTAATATTTCAGTAAGACATGACTACAAGAATAAACAATATGGCTTATAAATTTCTGTTTATGCTCCTACAAATTCCTGAAAAAAAGAAACCGAGAGTGAGTTTCTTCCAGAAATAAATAATCAAAATGATTCCGCCTAAAAATGTTTTCTCTGACCATTGAAAAGCAGGAGGTACTGGATGACTGTTCTGTCTTAGTTTGGGATTCCTCAGCAATACGCATGTACCGGCGTTTGAGCCTAGGACCTCCTATCACAAGGCGAAACCGTAGATAATTCAGCCACTGAGACCTGTCGCCCACGAATTCCAGCTTTTAATGATTAGCGACATAAATAGCGCAACTGTCAGCCAATGCAATCGGCTGATTCGCGGGCTCCCCGCTGGTTACGACTTTTCACTAGAACTTCAGGTAACTTCTTGTATAGAGTCATACATTTTCAAGGAAAGTTATTCAAATTTCAATCAAGTCTAGTTGATGGTACCCCGAAAAATGAAAATTGTAGAAATGCATAAACAGCAACGCACTTTAACGTGTAAGTAACTTTGGACCCAATGTGTGTTACTTAGCATTCTCTCTCCATTAAGCAAGTGTAGATTTGAAAAAACTACAATGCAATTAGTTAAACACGAAGTAAGTTTATACAAAACTACAGTTTACTCCTAAGTGGCTAAATGTACTTAGATTACAATTCTATGTTTATTAGGGTATTCTACTGTTTCAAATGTCCTTATGAAAGTTATTCTTAAGTTGATCATGTTAGGGAGTTAGTTATGTATAGTAATATCATACGAAACTAGTCCCAAAGTAAACTATCTTCCAGTGGACAAAGGTAAGCATTGTCTTTATATGTTAAAGAAGTGATAACAGGAGTGAATAATCCCCATTAGGAATTCAGACGTCGGTTTGTTATGAAATAACAGTTGTGCGAACGACATAACAACAGTAAAAAAGTAATTAGCTTTGCAATTACCTATGAATTCATATTAATATGTTTAACCAATTATTGCTAAGAATGTAAGTTTCTACAATAATATCATTTGTGGAATAACTATTCGCCACATACGTTTCGATGTTATGCTAAGCATTGTGAATAATCCTACTTGAAAACCATATCTCTTGAAGAGTTATAATAATGAAGAGGTTGTCAATGCTAGTGAACACTGAATCCTTTGTTTGTTAGAACTGGTCTCTGTATTGGCGGGAGACACGAAGGCTATCATTGCTCAATCGTGTACTGGTTGGCAGAAAATTTGAGAAATACTATCAGAAGTATTGATGTACATTATATTAACGTTTATCAACAGACTCTGGCATTGAGTAACCATTGTAAATCTATTTCGCTACCAGTTGAAGAATAAGCAATCGTATTACCCGACCGTTTTCTGTTATTCTGCGTCGGTTACGGTGTATAGCATTCTGAGTATTAGGCTTGGTCTTCTGAAACCAGCGACAGGTTCAAGATGTTAGCAATTTGGATATCTGACAGAGGCATAGGCCACTAAAAACCCCCCACATGTCCGTTTTTCTTTCTAATTTCATTCGTTATTTCTCAGGGATTATAAATAGCAGAAGCTAAAATAAACGTAAATCAAACTCGCTACTTTTAAATTAGTTTCAAATTTACACAGATCAAGATAATTAATTCACCACAGTTTCTTTTGGATACTGAGATCATTTAGATGACAATATGTGATCCGCTCAATATCATAAAGGGTAATCCAGAAACCAGGTTTAAATGCCTAAAACTATGTAAGTAACTTTTGTTTTGATAAAGTCTCACAGTGTTATACAGTAATGTTTACTGATGAAGTTTCAAGCACAATTTACTGCTCATAATCATATCGAGGTAATCACACGACTTCCGAACTTCATTTATATAGTTCCGTTGTTTTTCACTTGATTTGATTGGCAGTAATATTTTTCATATTTCCAGTACGAGTGATGAGTCATTCCTATTGCATGTGTTGGGTGTAGACTCGATGAACAAGGATTCAGTAATCAACCTCTCTCTCCACCTACCTAGATTACTTTTTAGAATTTTAACCCTCTCCCACCCTATTGTGTGTTAATGCATGCATTGCAATTGCCGAGCTTTTTTCTAAATTACTTATCTTCTCTGGGTCAACCATTCTTACCTTAGCTAAATTCATATGTTCCGACGATCTGACTACGCCTGACCTATGCAGTTGACCTCACAGTCATCGCAGGGTATTTTGTAAATTACATTATTTTGTCTAATTGGGTCAACCGACAGGGTGCTCTAACCTACAGAGGTTGTCCCTGAGTGAGTTTGTAGGTTTGAATGCCAACCTAATTCCTGCTTTATTAAGAATCCTACGTAGGGTCTCAGATGTTCCCTCCGTATATGGTATCACAGTGGATGACTCATATCCTCTCTTATTTGTTATTATTACTAGTTTCTTAATTATTTTTACTTTTCTTCTGGCCCTTTTTGATTTTCCTAATGAATTTTGTAGTATAGTTATTTAACAATAACGCTTCTTCTATCTGTTTCATTTCGTCATTTAGGTTTTTTGTTGTACTAATTAGTGCTATCGCTCGGTATGTTAGACACTTAACTAAGCCAGCCTCCACAGACAACGAACTGATGAGATTAATTAAAGTCTAAATATCTAATAGGGTGCGTTGGCTTTTTATAAACACTAGTGTGCAGTTTACCTTCTTCTATTCGTTTTATTTTACAGTCTAACATAGCTAATTCTCCTTATTCATTTTCCTATTCAAATGTGAATTTCATTCCATTTACTAGTCAGTTTATATGTGTGAAGAAACTAAAGCTTTGTTCTGTTTTTAACACTGTGAAAGTGTCATCCACATATCTCCACCATATTTTTGGGGTAGGATTAAACGTATTAAGAGCCATATTTTCCCAGCTGTCCATAAATATATCTGCTACGATAGGGGATATTGGTGATCTCACTGATACACCTTAAGTTTGTCTATATATTTTGTCTTGGAATTTAAAGATAATAGACGTGAGGCATTATTGAATTTCCAGTCAGGTAGATCGGAGGGCGATCTAAACACCGGACGGCTGTTTCACTCCGAACTAGCTCATCAGGGCCGTGTACCCTGTTTGAATTAGCTAACAGAGGCAAGTAGTCAGTTCAAAATACTCAAGTTCTGGTTAGCTAGCTAGCTTAGTTAAAGGGTGAACTAATGACACTCTACAACTGGAATAAATTAAAATTATAAAACTTTTTCTTTTATTCTGTATACTCACGATCAGTAAACTGGTCGATTAAAATGAATAAAGCATAAAGTAACACGGATGGATAAACTGAAAAAAATATTAAAGTATTACATAGTAAAAACAATGAAACAAGTTTATGCGTAGTTACTTAGCATAGGGAGTGAGAAATGAAGAGGCAAACAAAGGAGTTTAGAAAAAGAAAAACAACAGCTCTGTAATAAAACATTGAAATGTTTACAGGCACATATCAGGCACACTTGTATTTGTAGATATATATATATATCGTCAACAATAGTTTACCCCATTTGAAATTAAAGGATGATTAAAAAAATTTGGAAAATAATGAAAAAAAGAAGAAGAAAAGGAAGGGGGCAATGAAGCGGTGGATAAGTGTATTTATTGATTAACCTGACCAATCTTTTGGTTCACGAAAAGGTCCCCAACCATGAAAACATTGTCTAAATAGGTGTGGTTCTGCATTCTTTACTGTCAGCTTTAATTGTCTTGGTCGATCAGGTTGCATTTGACGTAAATGACTTTGATAAAGTTTAGCAGCTTGTAAAGACAGTTTTTGTTCTACATCTGATGTACGTTTACTCCACCATAGGTAGATCTAATGAAGAAGGAGAAGACGAAGAAACAGCAGAGAGTACGTCAGATATACGATGCAATTGGTACAAAGTTTTAGAAAAAAGGGAATACTGAATTAGACAATATTCATTATTAGCATGGAGTGAAAATGGAAGAATACCCCATGTCATGTTATCCTGAAAAGTAATACTTCTTTCGTTTGAAATCAATTTCATTTATAAGATCAGTTTACTTATTACTACTTTACTAACTAACGTGGACACTATACTTTCATTCCCTAGATCACAGATAGAGTTAAACTTTAAGCACGACTAACTACCAATCAGCGAACGACCTTGAACGCGCCAATCCCGTGAAGGAAACATTTCTTGGTATGGAATATATATATTTATGAGAGAAAAAAGTGCTTAAAAACTGTATAAAAGTGTTACAGAGGATGCCTTTCTCTAACATGTGATAAAAACATCTCCCTGTTTAGCATAGGAGTATCAATGGAAAAGTTACACCATATCCTATACATATATCTGTAACAACAGAAGGCAAGGGTCAAGGCAACAGATCATTTATTAAGGAAATCAACGCATATTTATATATTTTCATGTACATTACTATGGATATTTAAACAAACAAACACAGTCTTCCGATTGGTTGTTTCTCACGTAAAGTTAATCTTTCATCTATTTGTGACTGTTTCTTGAATGTCAAATCCTCTATATGTTAACTGCATCCGCCTACGCAAAGTATGCTGTGGTCGGTTTTGAATCAATCTTTGTTCACATTTTCTCACGACAAATCTTGGGAACGTAAATATTGACGTAAATTACTGTCTACCAATTTGGCTAGTAGACAGCTCTCACCACATATCCATGTAAATGACTATAAATGACATGGCTTTGCGATCCACTAATGGCTCTAATCCTGTTTTTTCAGCCTTCCCCAAAGGCCTTCGACAGAATTGGTATGGGTCCCTGTAATGGGATCCACAAAATCACTAGAATGGTTGACTCTGTGGTGAATTTATCCAAAGCCTCAGGATGGTCGGGGGTGGGTGCTTTGCGCTGCGGGTTAGCCACCCCTCCGCACACCTCTTGAAATGCTCCCATATGACCGGGCGTCTTACATAGCCTCTCCCGAGGAAGTCCTACTCACTGCCTTCACGTGGCGGAGGTGTTTCTCACCAAAGTGAGAGGGCGAAAGCGGATGCCCGACGCTCTTCACCGGGTTGACTGTCCATTGGATGACAGTCTAGGGGAGATGGCTAAACCCTGATTCCAAACCTCCGACGACTGGCGTATGAAGCTCACTGGAGCTCACCGGCAGACGTATGGACAAAGGGCTTGTTGGATGTCCTGGATGTCTGGTCCCATTCAAAAAGGCGTATGAACCGAACTCCGGTCACCGGTTGCCAGTGGATAGTGGACTCCCCACTCCACTCCTACTGCCTTGTAGGTCACACTTGGTTGTGTAAAGGCTAGAGCTGCACTCTAAAACAAAAGGCCGAGCGATTCTGGGGACATCACTCGTACCAAATTCCCATGAAACTTCATGAACTCTCTTGCATCAGATCGCCGCGCCTGGGCAGCGATGATTCGAGAAGTTCATGAAGCCGGTTCATCCTCCCGTAGGAGATAGCCGAAGTAAAGTAAGTAAGTAGAATTTATCCAAAGGATGACAAGGAGCTATAACCCTTCCACTCATCTATGTGTATTATAAATCCCTGTTTCACCAGTCGAGTGATAATAGGTATTAAAGTAAGTGACTTGCTCTCTGTCATCATCTCGACGAATCCTTTGTATAGAAAGGTACCATATAAACCAATCACCCAAACATTATTCGCTCGTTCTCGACCCCAGTTGTATTTTTTCTTTAATAGGACAGTTTCATCTACATGTACTACGACACCTTCTCCTCCCAATAAGGAAGTAAGCCTCTCCATTTTCTAGGATGCGATATCCCTGCAGTGCTGGTACTACTTGACTGTTGATACGAGACTATTTTCAGTTTCAGTAGCTGCACCTCTCACAGGCTGTTTTAAAACCCAGTAATTACAAATGTACAAAAAATCTGGGTTAAGGACAAATGGGAAGTGGCAAAAAATGTTCCTACGAAATATTAGAATCATCAGCTTACCCTCCCTGACTCGAATCAAGCGGAATAGAAGCTTCAACTCAGGTGAATAAAATCCATTGGACCATTCGAGGTCAACGGTACGGAGGCACTCCATTGGTAGTTAGTTAGTGGTGCCTAAGGTTTAACTAGACAAGATCGCGAATTCTTATTTTTTTTTAAAGTCTAATGCATGTGGTTGACAAGTTACTCAATACTGTGACTACACAATCTAACCGACATTTGTCAAGTATTATCATCTCAACGTAAATGCCTTGGTACGATCAAGGATTGCTGAACTCCGGTTCTCTCTTTTCGATATACTTTCATGTAGTCCTATTCACTTCATTTATCCGGATGAAAACATTTCGACAAAAGTGTGAGAGAGTGATTATACGATTGATAAACACAAACACTTCACCTATGAGAATTTAAAAAAATCCGAATTCCAAATCAATCGTGCATATACGTTTTACCGTCTATAAGGAATAGATAAGAAGGCAGCTTTTGACCTTGTTCTACTGCCTTGTGGAATGGACTTAAAGTCAACATTCAACCGTGTTGCCGTTTGGATATTACCGCCTCAACGCCTTTGTAACGAAATACACAAACGATAATCTGCATTTGATTAGTTTGGTACCAAGCAACATACTATACCGAATTTCCGATTAAAGAATAAACACGAATAATGATTTTGAACGTATAAAACTTCAGCAAGAGAAAGAGCAAAGCGAAAAAAGAGTTGAAATATACACTCACAAATTAGAATAGAAGAATTTTTTTAAAAAAATACTACAACACAACAATCAAAAGAAGGCTAGTGGATTATGGACAATAGAAAACTGATTAACAACGCATAAATATGCTTTAGGGATCTCTATAATGAAGAAAAATACAAATAGTAAATTACTACATCTGGAGTAAACAAACTACCGTACACAAGTTTATAACACCAATATATATATACATATCAATGTGCAGGCTTATTTAGTTATGAAGTGTATACAATTCCTGCGTATTTTAACCCTCGTGGAAAATTCCCATTGTAACATATAGAAAATCAAAACAAGTGATTCAACGAAGAGACTCTTTTCAACGAGTTTATCATCAAGCTGTACAATCGTATATATATGGTTTTAAGAAGTTATATCCGGTGAGGGAATTGAATCATAGGTGTGAATGTATAAAATAATAATAATAATAATAATAGTATGAAATGTAATTAAAACTAAAATGTTTGTAATTATAATCATAGTTAAGTGTCAAGTGGCAAAACAAATTAATGTCACATATAGAATAATTCATAGGATGGATAGAACTTGAAAAAGGATGTGCAATTATAGGAACACTATCCTGCATGGTTACGAAGAGGTGGAAGTGGAGCAATAAGAAGCGTGATCATTTAACATTTGGTGGATACTGATCACCGTATATCTATAGCCTCCGTCTTTAAAGTCATCTACAAAGCAAAGAGTAATTTACCCAAATCCCTACGTACCCGACTCATCTGTATTGCTGAAGCTTTGGCTATCGAAACAGAAAAGCCAGATCTCTGTGTACAGAAAAAGTTCGTTCAACCCCTCCAACTTTCATGGTCTTAATCCCTCTATGCTAAAGTATGGTAACCCCTAATCATATTTTGGCTCTACCAATTTTTTTTACATTTTGTCTATTCAATTTGTATTTACTTCCTTTATTACGTCAATTGTTCCCATTGCTATTCTCACTTTGAACTGTCCCCGGTATTATTTCACTTGTTTGACTTGTCACTCTAAATCAATTTTTTTTACAACGTTAAATTCTATGCTATCAAATTCCACACAATATTATGTAACGTTTTTATTTTATTCAATTTGTCTACTAATCTTATAACTGCACACCCTTTTTCAAGTTCTGTCCATCCTATGAATTATTCTATATATGACAATAATTGTTTTGCCACTTGACATTTAACTATGATTATAATCACAAACATTTTAGTTTTAATTACATTTCATACTATTATTATTATTATTATTTTATACATTCACACCTATGATTCAATTCCCTCACCGGATATAACTTCTTAAAACCATATATATACGATTGTACAGCTTGATGATAAACTCGTTGAAAAGAGTCTCTTCGTTGAATCACTTGTTATGATTTTCTACATTTGAACCGTACCCACTACAGTAGTAAGTAGCACTAGAGAAAAATCTATGAAACAGGATAGTCAATAAGGGATGAAAGTAGTAATAGTAATTTCTAAGGCTTTTAAAAAAAATTTATTCAGAATAACCACATATTTCACAAAAATAAAAAAGACAATAGAATGCTAGCAATGTATTCGATTAATAGGTGAAGAGACAGAGAAAGGCGAACGAAGATTACTAAGATATGTAACACATCACCAAATTTTTTTTTTTTAAATTCAATGCAACAATATCGATCGAAATTTTGTTTTTGACCTATCTTAACTGATCTGTTCAGGTAACTAAAAATTTCAGCTGTTTATAAGTACTGAAAAAATTCTTAATGTTTTGAGGTTGTGGTTTATGTGTAGGCCTCTAAGCAGTTGAACTTTGCTACATTTTCGGTAAACCCACACATATATATAATTTAGTTAAACCTATTGCCTACTGAATCAGTAGTCTACAGGTGACTGTCAGGTTATGCAGCTCAAGTTAACAAATCAGAGGCACCGAACTATCTGAGACAAATATTAACAATACCATCCATACTAATAATAACACTTTAGACAACATCACATTTATTACAAACAAGTGATAGATTACAGCACTACATTGATATAGATCAATTGTAAATAAGGTCACATTTTTTGTAACAGTAACAATCATAGAGAAGTGGCTGTCACATTTGAAAATTTCTCCGAAGTATTATGTAATCGTAGAACAGAAGGCTAGATGAAACCGATAATTTGGGATTCCAATCAATACACGTAGAATAATCAATTTCATGTTTGTCCGACAGTATCAAGCCGAATTAAGAGTTTACAGAATCTAATTAAGATATTCATTTATTTTATATTTTATTATGGCTTGACTCCACACGGTATTTTTGATACAAGTATAGAATTCTCAGCATGTAACATCGGTAGCCCAAATTTAGCAGGTCGACCATTGATATCGAGTATGTGTCGGTCTGAGATCGAACCCCGGACCATGTGGATGGTCGGCGAGAGTCCTAAGCACTGTGCCACCGATGCAGACAGTACCAAGCAGGATAAACAGATATAGATTATTATTTAATTAGGTTTGAACTTTTGCTTTGATTGACTGGACCGAAGTGCTCAGCCTCTGTTGATATATCGACTCCTTGTGAGGGATGCTTCGACGATGTCTGAGGATTTAACCTGAAGTAATACGGTGGGTGGTGACTACTAGCCACCATCTGGTAAATCGACAGTGATGTTGATTGTTATTTTTCCAAAAGTAACCTAACACTTGAAAGACATGAAGTTCAAAACCAATGTACCTTATTCGTTCATGTAACATTTCATATATTTCAGTAAGTTAACGTTGTTATGCTGAGGAGACATAGGGCGCCAGGCTCTCGAGTGGAACTCATAAGGGATGAGTGGGGAGTCCGAGGGTAACATGGACGAGATCGTGAAAGGAGGAGATAAGAGAATATGGGCAATTTTAGGACCAGCTAAACAGGATTAAATAAATCAGAACAAAGTGGAGATGTTCAAGTATTGGTTTGTAGGGATTTGGTCGATTGGTTACAGGATTTCATCATGAGCTGACATTGGTTAGAGAACCATTGGAAAACCTGGGAGTATTGGACAGCTGTTTCGTCCTAGCTTGGGACTCTTCATCGGTACGCACCCACCACTACTGTTCGAACCCAGGACCTTCTGGTTACAAGGCGAGCTCGTATACCATTCAGCCACTGGGACCCGACCAAATGGCCCATGAATTCTAACTTCTGCCAATTCAAGATATAGCGCAACCGCTAACCAATGTCTTCGGCAAGCATTTGTCCTCACACCCGACCTGCTGCACCCTACTGGTCATGGCTTCCCACTGGAACCCCAGGTAACTACCAACCTGTAGCATGTACATGTACCAGACTACTAAGCACCATCTGATTTGTGAGGGATTTTGATACTAACCAACCACCCAGGTAGATGGTGCGGGTCTAGGTTTGTGCAACCAAGTAGTATTATAAAAGTTCACACACTAAGCATAATTTATACAAACAAGGTTTGTATATTAGAGATGAGACAGTAATAGCATACAACTTTGGTGGGGGCAATTTTGAACTTTTATTTTCAACTTGTAAACATGCCCAACTTATTTTTCATACTGTTATGCAAAATTTGCATCATGTTTACCTAAATATCGATGCCCAAGTGTCTTGGATACTTGATACAAGCAAATCCATGATAGTCTTTTATCCACCTCCTTCTGCATTTACGTATTTTCCTTCGATTTGGTATCTCCATAGAGCCAAATTATGTACACTTTATCTTCAAGGCACCATTTGCACAGATCTTATATGCTGTGCTACTTCTGGCCTTCATATTGTGTTTCTTTATAGCCCCTTTACGTCTCCCAGGTATTTCTGCTACGCCGTATCATCTGCTTTCTCTGACATCAAATCTATCTCCGTGTTATTTGACGTTTTTTATCCCGATGAACATCTCTTTACATACTACTGATAAATCTAATCAGTAGTACATGCCATCTGGTACACAAGATAGGCTACAGAAAAAATCGATAATACGAAGACTAACTAATTTTATTTTTGATTCATATTTCACCACTTCCATTTTTATATTATTGTTCACCAAGGGAAGGAATGTCGTACTTGGAGCCACTAAGTTACGAGAACATATAAACAATGCCTCAATAGGAAACATTACCACTGCCTTATTCAAATTGTAGCCGCAACGCAAATACAGAGTAACTGAGGACGGTTAAAACAAACAAATAGAGTTCAATCAGTTATGGGGTAACTCTCTGTCATAAATACACACACATATATGCATGTAATTCACTTAACTTACAAACACTAAAGAATTCTAAATCACAAATTTTCTTTTGTGAAAACTCACTTGTGATCCAGTATCCAACAGCATAACATCATCTGAGGCTAAATCATCTTGACAGAAATCTGCACATTTCTCTGAGGCACAAAAATATCCTTGTTCATTTGACAGGCGGAATAATCGACCATACGTGAGATATTCTGCAGATGTATCATACTTCTTTTGACCGCCTAATACTTGCCAAAGTAGAGGTGGTTCAGAACCTTCAGGGACAATATGAAAATCAGTTGGTATCTAGTTGAAAATAAAACAAGAACAAAGAATATATTTTATTACATATATATATGTATTATTTTTATATTTTGCAAAAAACCGTGGAGCTGAAAATAGGGGGTGAGGAGACTCCAAGTTGGACACAGACGTGGCGATGTCAAATATCGTCAAGCTGTTGCAACAGATATCTGATTCCCTAGTCCGCTCTACTTAAACGAGAAAATACAAGGACGTGAGTAGGAAAGTATATTTCAGTAGTAGTGTAAGGAAGGAAAAACCGATGAGGCTCGAGGGTAAGTATATAAATTTGGCATACCATATCTCCAATGCTTTATTTGCACATTATTTGCAAATTGGTCGAATATCACCACATTCGATAGCTTGTTGGGTTCTGCACAGTGTTTCTAACGTTCTTCTCACAGTTTTGTTCTCTGATTGCTTTTTAGAGTGTCAGAAATATATTGTTGTTTTTCTGAACTCGTTTATTGATATACTACTTATATCTGATTATAAGTAGCACTCACCACACTAGTATATTTACAAAACGAAACAATGGCCAGTGACGTAATCGCGAGAAACTAATGCATAAAAGGATGTATACATGGCCAACGATGTAGGCGTGAGAAATGACACCCATATATATCAATTACATATAGGTGGAAAATGACGGTGTAATTTGATGATGAGAATAAAACGTTTGCGCATGCCAAGTTGAGAAAGGATTGAATTTCGCTTGTAGATATCCACTAAGTTAAGATTATCAGTGAAACAGATACTGGAAACTACAAGAATTAGGACAACTATCATAGCCCTGGTCTTCAGAGGAATTCTAAGTTTGAAAAGAAATGAATCCACTTTATACTGTTATAGATGATGTTTCAAATGCTGTTGTTTTTGGTTGTTTAATATCCACTTATTATCCAATTATCACAAATATCACTTTCATTATCTTATTTTATTACACTTGATCTTCCCTTTTTGCCACTATCCCCTCTCATAGAGTTGTCAAATGCTATCGATAACATCATATGGTGTCAGTGAACTAAGATAGGGTCAACCAAATGACAGACTGGCGGTAGCGCTGTATATTATGAACTGGAAAAAGTTAGAATTCATGAACTGGAGATTGGATTCTATTCCAGTGACTCCATGGTAAACGAAATTATCTCGTAATTTGAAGGTCCTGGATTCGATTCCCGGTGAGGGAATGGCAGTGTAGTGCTGAAGAGTTGCAAACAAGGACAAAACAACTGTTAAGCAGCAGTACTCTCTGGTTTCCAACGATTCTCCAACTGATGTCAGTTCGTGATGTAACATGAAAACTGTTTTGCTGAATAGTGTAAACAATTAAAGAGATAAAATCCCCATTTAGACATTTAGAAAACAGAAAGATTGAGCGAAGAAATATTTAGTTTTCAATTAGATCCTCATCTCTGGCTCTACTCTAATATATATATATATATATATATATATACATATATATATACATATATATATATATAGCACCTAGGAGAGTCAGTATAGCAACAGTTCCGAGAAAGCCAATGTTCATAAAACTGCAGTTCCTCAGTGACAACATCAGCGAAATAATAACATAGCGCCTGAAGAATGCAGTTTGAAGAGCTTATTATGCAACAGAGGTACGTTGTCTCTTCACAACCACCCCTATTCTATGTTCGAGAAATAAGGATAAACTACCTAAATTTGCCTCTTCTATGTGTATCTACCAGTTTGACTGCAGCTGCGGAACCAGCTACATCGGGCGTACAATTAGGCAGGTTCATCATCGTATTTCCTAACATCATCCAGCACGGTTAAGCAAGGGACAAACAAGATCTATTCGTAGTTCTATTTTAGCAAACGTTGAGGACAGTGAGCATAAGCTTGATGTTAATACAGCATTTAAAATTATCTATCGCATTCCTGCTAATCTTAATTTTGCTCTACGAGTTCGTCTTTTACAGACAGCTGAAGCAATCGGAATCCACCTGAAGAAGCCAAACTTGTGTGTTCAGAAGATATTTGTACAGCTACTTTCCTTACCTTGGCCATCGTTACATGAATGTATAAACAGGACTACGTCGCCCCCGTCCCCCTAAACCTTTAAAAACTATAAAAATTATAATTGCCCAAATTATTTTATTTATATTTATTTTGACCACTTCATCTTTAATTACGTGTTATCCTTGTAAAATTAATTTATTCTAGCCATTTCTACCTTTTAAATATGTATTGATTTTCTTCGTTAATTATCAACCCATTGACATTTTGACACTGACTAAGTATTGTTAACAAACATATCGCCACTTGTTTGGTAAACTGTTGTGTATTGTAATAAAAATGCTATATATATTGAAGTAGAGCCAGAGATGAGGATCTAATTGAAAAGTAAGTATTTCTTCGCTCAATCTTTCTGTTTTCTAAATTATATTGATTCTCATCATAACAGTGTACTGTACACTTTCTATTTACTTTAAATCCTAACAGATTAATTTATATGTACTCATTGTGTAACTTTTATCAGAAACTACTTTTATTTAAAAGTTCTATTTATTTTCACTCTTTTTGTCACCAATGTGATGATCACTCCTTGAATAAAGTAAATGATACTTAATCTATTAGCAGAAGATTGACCTAAATGGCATATGCGATCATTAAACTTTCGTGATATTGTCAATTAGAAAAGGAAGAAAAACAACACAACTATAGCTACAGAATAAATTAACACTGTTCAATATCTCTATTCGATATCACTAGTTAACATTGGAATGGAATAGGTTCAACTATTTAACAACATACATAATAAACATATTCAATCGTCAAATACTACTTACTATTTTGCATAATCAATAAGTAAGTAGGTGATAATGTTTAGAAAAAGTACATTCTGACTTGGCATTTATATATTTTGAGATTTTTTTTTAAAAATATGCCAACAAACAGAAGTTGTTGCTATAGTAACGTTACAATATCCACTTCTAACAGACACACTAATAGCTAATTGACAACTGATAGTCTTTCCAACCAACACCACCACCAGTCCTGACTGACTATACACCCCCCCCCCCGGCCAACCAAAATACTTACAATACTCAAATCAGAATACACAAACATTCTGTGCATACAAATTCAATTGCAATGATGGAGAAGTCAAATAATACACAGGAAACCCGATGAGTTTAAAAATCAATCGATGTAAGTAGGCTTTAAGTTGCTTCACGTTAATAAAAGCAGAGATATTGCTTCATTAGCTGAAGAGTCCGGTTCACAGTCAAACGGATCACGGATGTGAGAATCGCCCCACCCATTTCAACACAGGCAGCTGAGTAGTATAACTAGTCCTCATACAATAGGTGTAGCTCTTAGCCTGGTACAGGAAAGATATAATCCGGGTAATTGAGTTCACACGAACATGTTAATAAGGGAGAAAACCACTAAATATGAAAAATAGGATTTCTGGTGTCAAATAAAACAGACATTTTCATCTCTGAATAACTGCCATCTAAAGTGATGCATAATTTTCCTTTTTTTTAAAAGGCATGTGAAGTAGAACTAGTAATAATAGTGTTGCATACTAAGAGCATACTATCTGTCTGTTTGGATTCAACATAGAACTTGGCACCAAAGTGCACCAGTTCGAGTTGCCACGTTCCAAATAGCACACAGAGGTAGACAAGAAGATGAGTGAAGAGGACCAACTGCGTTTTGACAAGTGTAAGAGTGAAACAGAATGAGTAATGGTAGAAAGGAATATGAAAGATTACAGAGACTGAATACATCTGCGTAAGCCATTGACAACGATTTTGAGCCATGTCACCTAGTGTCTCCAGCCGTTGATTCTTAGAGTCCTGAGGGCCCCAACCCGGAAGCCTGCATCTCCCTACCTGACTCAGTTTAACTGTCAAGCATGTCATGGATTGATGAGGCCATTTTTTTGTTTGGCCACCACCTACTCTTTTCCAACCTACACCTATATCAGCTAGTAATGCCCGTCGAGGTGTGGAGGCGATGGTTAGGCATGCGCAGCACGTGACTTAGCCATCTCAATCTATGTAACTTTATAGCCTCGTCGATTGATTTTCCCTTTTTGCCCAACACTCTACGGCCTGACGTCAAAGTTACTTACCTTATTATACCACCTAACGTGAGAAAGAGATCGTAGACATCTATGATCAAAAACAGTCAACCTTTTCATGTCTTCAACTCATATTGGCCATGTTTCAGAGCCATGGAGAAGGATGGAGCGAACTGCTGAGCAGTACACACGTCCCTTGGTTGATAGCCGGATGTCACACTTACGCCAGAGATAGTGTAAGTTAGCGAAAGAAGAGCATACATGCTGATAAAATGTGAAAAACCACCGATAGATAAAGAAGGCGACCTTTATAGTACTGTTAACCGTAAAAATGATCGAAATGATAATAAAGAACTATTAACGTGAAGAAATATGGGAACACCTACATCATTCTACTATGCGACTCTTTAATACAATGTATTGCAGACCCCATGAGCAACTGAGAGTAAAGCTTCGGCAATATATTGTATTTCCCTAAGCGACTCAGACTAACGGTGGATTTTCATAGATCAGTACAATATCTTGTTGAAACCAACCTGATCTAAACCAGATTCCCTTAGGATAAGAAGCAAGACCGCAATGGACATCACAGCAATGAGAGTTCTCTTACTTCAATAGACAAACATTGTACAACACAGTAAAATATAGGAAAAATTAGGCAATAACATTCTTTAGTTTGTTCTTAGAAGAAAAATACGGGATTCAGGAAACATGTTGCTTCACGCGGAAATTCATTTCGAAGTCAATCAAGTTTCCGAAATTCCAGCAGTTAATGAATATGAAAACAGATTTTGACTACAAAATAACTCATATGAACAGTTTTCAGATATAACTAGGAAAAGTTAACAGACAGTTAAAATATCGCATGAAAAATACGTCGTAAAAACTGATGACACTATTCAAATGCCCAGGTGCAAGTAATTGGAACGCGACTCAACCCTGTGACGTATCGACTGAAAACCGAGTGCTTAAGCCAACTTAAACAATCTCTGGCGTAAACGTGATATCCACCTACCGACCAAAGGGTGTGTGTACTGCTCAGCAGCACTTCGCTCCGTCCTCCTTTATGGCTGTGAGACCTCGCCATTGAGAGCGAAAGACATGAAAAGGCTATCTTTGGTCATATGTGCCTGCGTTCTATCTCCTGTGTGAAGTGGTATGGTAGGGTGAGCAATATTGAGGTTAGACATCGGTCAAGTGCTAGGTACTTGGGGGGGGGGGGGGAAATCAATCGACGAGGCTGTGAAATGGTTAGGACGTGTGTCATACATGCTAGCCTGGCCATCTCCTTCCTCGACGGCCGAGGTTAGCTGATACAAGGTCAGGTTGGAAAAGAGCCTATAGTGGTTAAACCTAAATGTGGCATCAGTCAATGAAGTCTACAACAATCCAACGAGCCACATAGAGAGGTGTAGACTTTCTGACTGGTTGGGGTCCTCGGGATAGTAAGAACCAATGAATCATGGAGACAGTTGGTGACATGACACACAATCGTTCTGGGTGAATAGCGCAAATGCAATCATTCTTTGTGATATACAATATCCAATAAAACTCCATTGTCCTTCCATATTACTATTCTTTTGCCACATATCTCTGTTCACTGTCTCTGTTTTGCATTTCTTTTTACTTTCTTCTCTGATTTGTGTGCTAAGTGAAGTGTGGCGACTCGAACTGCTGCACATCAGTGCAAAGATCTAGGCTGAAACCAGTCATTCAATCAGTCAATCAAAATCAGCCAATGCCTATTGCCAAATATAAGGTAAATTACGATAAAAAACAAAAGGGAGAGACACGTATACAAAGCAAATTATGAAGTTGTGTGAATTACATTGATGTGATTATAAGCAACAAACTGTGCTATAAACATTATCTAGTTACCAATACTGCATCACTGTGTGTCATATAACATAAACTTATCTAATATAGAATTATATTCTACAACAGTGCGACGAAATCTCAGCACGGATCCAAAAAGCTCGAGCTGCTTTCGCTAACTTACACTATCTCTGGCGTAAGTGTGACATCCGGCTATCAACCAAGGGACGTGTGTACTGCTCAGCAGTTCGCTCCGTCCTTCTCCATTGCTCTGAAACATGGCCAATACGAGTTGAAGACATGAAAAGGTTGACTGTTTTTGATCATAGATGTCTACGATCTCTTTCTCACGTTAGGTGGTATAATAAGGTAAGTAATGTTGACGTTAGGCGTAGAGTGTTGGGCAAAGAGGGAAAATCAATCGACGAGGCTATAAAGTTACATAGATTGAGATGGCTAGGTCACGTGCTGCGCATGCCTAACCATCGCCTCCACACCTCGACGGGCATTACTAGCTGATATAGGTGTAGGTTGGAAAAGAGTAGGTGGTGGCCAAACAAAAAAATGGCCTCATCAATCCATGACATGCTTGACAGTTAAACTGAGTCAGGTAGGGAGATGCAGGCTTCCGGGTTGGGGCCCTCAGGACTCTAAGAATCAACGGCTGGAGACACTAGGTGACATGGCTCAAAATCGTTGTCAATGGCTTACGCAGATGTATTCAGTCTCTGTAATCTTTCATATTCCTTTCTACCATTACTCATTCTGTTTCACTCTTACACTTGTCAAAACGCAGTTGGTCCTCTTCACTCATCTTCTTGTCTACCTCTGTGTGCTATTTGGAACGTGGCAACTCGAACTGGTGCACTTTGGTGCCAAGTTCTATGTTGAATCCAGACAGACAGAGACAGACAGACAGTGCCCAAATTCTATACATCCATTAACTTCGTCTATTTTCTAAAGTATTGTACAGTACTGTTGGCAAACGAAATTATATACATCATGACTACAATGGCTTCAGTAGTGAAGATAATAATGAGTGAATACTATTCACATCTTTTCCCAGAATACAACTTTATAATTTTTTTGGACTTTTAAAGATTATTAGAGAGAATTTCGTATTTCTCAAATAAAAATAACTTCAAAAAAAACTGAAAATAAGTGCATGTATACTTGGAGAAGTTACTAGAATATCCTCGTATATAAGTAGTGCAATTAAAGATAGACAAATTTCTCTCTCATCCCTTAAGAAGCTATATATATAGTACAACACGCCTAATCAAAATGATTGAATGATTGATAAACTAAAAGTATGTAAAAAACACTGAAGACGTAAAAAAAATATACTTCAATACCCACCCAATCGAAGATTTTCTTGCTTAAACGATCAATCAATTCCTTGTCTTCCGGAGAGGATTTACTCCCAATCCAAATGTAAACATGAGATTTATCTGTTTGCTTTTTTTCCAATGCGCTAACAATATGTGCAGGAACTTTTATGATGTAAGTGAAACAAGAGTTCAAGTTTACAACGGATGGTTTAACCTAAAGTCAATTACAAGAAGTAGAAGAAAAAAACAACAATAATAGTAGTAGTAATAATAACAACGATAATAATAATAATAAACATTCGCTAAAGTTCAGTACAAATAGGTAAAGGAGTTCAACTGAATTATCTACATAAAAGACGATAGTATGATAGCCAAAACCACTGTGACCTTGAACGACCAATCAGAATTCAGATACAAGAAAGTCGTATAGTTGCTGAAAAATACACTAAAAAGCATGGCAAACAGGATTATTACCACTGTATAGTTGTTGTGTATGTGTTGTAAGAATGTCTTCCAGTCACTACACAGATGACCTATGGAGAAATCGTACCATACGCGATGTATCCATTCATACAAGTGACTGTAGGTCATGATACTTTGAGATCCATTGATATTTCTGATACTGTTCTTTAGTCTACTCCAAACTCTAACTCCTAATCTTAACTTTAACGCTAAACCTAAACTTAACTCTAGACCCTAACCCTACCTAATAGTATAGATTTGAAGAAAAACTACCTAGAGAATAAGTAGAATACTATACCCCACCCTCTCCAAGTCCTAAAAGACGGGCATGATTTGATTTGGAATGACATTTCATAGCATTCTCTGTATCTGGTCGGTTCTTCAAGGTCAAATTTTGAAACACCATGACTTCAGCTGTGATACTTTAACTTCGCCAAGATGACAATCAATGATGTGTATATCTGCTTTAAATCAATGTGCATAAATAAACAGTGTCACCAAGGATACGAACATTTCCCTTGCTAAATATAAATAAGGTAAGATAAAAGAATTCTGCTTTGCTAAACACAATTGGTGTGCAAGTTTTAACTGGCTATAATATACCCTATTTTAGACACAATGCATCAGTTTTTCTTATGGTAAGTGAATGAATGAATGAATAAATCTTTCCTTTCCCCGAATACATAAAAAACCCACTTCTGTAGGATCAAATCAAGTACAATTTGGCACAGATATTTGACTGAATTGTCATCTTGTATTATGAAATTTATTATTGACAAGCGGCAAGAAATAACACAACTGACACAGGGAATGCAAAAAAAAATTCACAGTATGACACTATGATACCACACAACATAAGTAACTTAAGAGTTACAAAAAATGGTAGCGAAATGAAAATCTTATCCAACAGGTAATTTTATATGCGTAACGTGGTTTACCTTAACAGTATTCAGTTGTGAATGAGGTTCTAGAAATGAAAGAACAAAACCTTTCAGAGTACCGGCAATTCACATAAGTGTTAGTTTTCGCAGATTCGACTAGTTTCAAACCAGCAGGCTAGCCTCATAACTTGAAGGTACTGGGTTCAATCTCCGGCGATGTTATAAGTATGTACCACTGAAGAGTCCCATACTAGGACGATACGGCTGTCCAGTACACCGTGATTCCCAATGGTTCTCTAGCTAATTTTAGCTCGTGATCTGACCCTTAATTCTTTTAGCTGACATGAAATACAGTTTCTAAGCCAAACGTGTTAATAAGATATTGATTGAAAAAATCATCTCTTAATCACCAGATGTTAATCTCAAATACAATGAACGGAATAATTTTACCAAAATGATCTGTTAGACAGTATGAAGCATTTCACTGTCCACTGTCATAACACGGAGGGTGTCCGTCATACATTAACTAGAAATCTTTAAAGAAACTTTATGACATTCAAGTAATAACATTTTGAAGGTGAACGCTTTGAAGCGCATTCTACTTCATAAAGAAGCTTCATTTGAGTTTTACTAATTCGTAAGGCTCTTAAGGAGTAAATAGCCTACTATAAAAAGTCAACATTTATTTTGCTAGGAAGATATCTTAAACAGTATCGCTAGCTAATAAACGTAGACTAATTAACAGATTACAGGATATATTTATTAGCATGGTTCAAGCAGATATTATATACATTACAGTGATAAAGGTAAATCTCTTTCACAGTAAGATGAGAATTAGAAGGCCTACTAATCTGAAACCTGAACAGTAAAGTAGTCAAAAGATGAATACAATGGTATTTGAATAAAGCAAGAACAACAGTGCTGTGCAGAATACAATGGTACCATCATTTATTTCGTCGGCTTCTCATCAGCTGCCTACAGCCCAAAGACATAGTGAAGTTTATGTACAGAAACAATTTTATCATACTTACAAAGACAGTTAATTTTTAAACAAAAAATCAATGTATGTATTCAATGGTGATAATAATAATGATAACAATCACTCTACCTCAAACAATAATAATCATACCGAATGGAATTTTTGGCGTTATGTAGTCATATGTGAAAGAGAGGATGAAAACATCCAGTTACCAGGGCAAGGAAAGACTGATAACCTCCTGTTTCTGAACACATAAATCGGGTTTCAGGCGCTTGATAGAGATTGCTTGGGCAAATTTGAGGAGAGTTGAACTCTTTCGCCTGCTGATAATTTTGAAAGATCTTGCCACGTCCACCTCATAACCCGTGTCAAGGAGAATCATAAATTCTTCCTCTAATTTGTATGTATAGCGTATTCTCCTGATTCTATAGAACAGAGATTTTACTAGTGCTCGTTTATAGCTATTTGAACAAAAACTATTAAAATGCAAGTATCGCCCCATTCCATTTCGGCTTTCTGTAAATCGACCTCTGGAAGCTACCCTCTTCCAAGCGTTGCATGGCGATGTCAAGCAAATGAGACTTTCAATCATTCTCATGTTCCATAGAAAATTCAATATGTACCTAGTTAAGTAATCCCAGTAGGTAAGAAGCATGACTTTCATTGTTGTACACCACAAATGTGTCATCGACATATCTGCAAGCAGAAGTTGCTTCGTCGATCACATGCTTCAACTTTGTTCTTTCAAGGTTGGACATGAAACTGTCTGCTAAAACAGGCCTAATTCGACTGCCCATAGCCACATCATTTATTCGGCGGTAAAGAGTGTTGTCAAACTGGGATTGTACATCCATGGTACATATTAGCAATAGGCGTTTGAATTCTGACACTGGGGATGAGAGAAGATCAGAATACTGACAAATGATCATTGATTAGGGTCCTTGTGAACAAGGAGGTTATGTCAAATGACTCCATGGACTTATTTGGAATGTTCAGGATGGTATTTACCATCTCCCTTGAACTCATTGGCCATCCTTGAATAATTTCAGCTCTCTCTATTAGTACCATTTGCAGTAGTGTTCAATAATCTAAGTTCAAATTTAACAAATAGCTCAAATTTCCTTGAAAATTGAACATACACTTGAATAATGAAGTAAAACAGGAATTGTATCACGATATTAATGAACACGAAAATAAAATCATTGAAGTATGAAACATGAAATGATGAATTGCTTACTTCTATACATCGAGTTGATATCAGATTGCCATTAGCTCTAAGATAGTACATTTGAATTCTTTCCAAACGAGAGGTATCTGCACGATCACGATAATGCCCAGAATGGATAACCAGTTGACGTTGAAAATGAGCTAAAAACATAGTGTCTTCTTGTTGTTGTCTTACACGCTTAAATACAACTTTCAATGGACGACTAACATCCTCAGGATTTTGTGATAAACGTGCTTGCATATCTTTACGTACTGAAAATTCAAATTGAAGCCAATTTAAATCAGATGCTTCACGACCTTGCCAGAAATAGACAACAGTTTTTGTGAGGTTTGAATCTTCATCAGCACCATCGCCTTGATTTTCACTTTCACTTCCTCTACTTTCATCATCATAATCCTAAGAAGGAAAGAAAGAAGGGTGGACGATACAAGGAAACGTCAGGGAACTTAGAAAACGCATTCTTGTTACTCCCTACTACTTTGATGAAAATGATTTACTTGGATTTGGTTTGAAACTCCTAAAACTAAACGAGTGAATAGAACCTATATAAGACCTTCAGGTTACAAGGTGAGTTCATATACCGTTCAGTCACCAGCAGCTCAGCTAGCTTGGTGGGTCCCGATGGTCGCAACCATCCACTAAAACTTCAGACAACTTTATCCTGTAGTCACAGTCCCTAGTGGACATTAGATTAATTTGCACGCTTTCGGTGTGCACGAATTTGATTGATTTCAAGATTGATAATGAACTGACTTCAATTAGAGAACCAGTCAAAGCTAGAAAATAACCAGCAAAGTCCATCAAATCGTATGTGAGAACAAATACTCGCGCCAATGACACTGACTGGTGGTTGCACCATATATCGCGAACTGGCAGAAATTCAACTAGATGGACCATTAGAATCCATCCCAATGGCTGAATGGTAAACAAACTCGCCTTGTAACCAGAAGGTCTTGGGTTTGATCCCTAGTGGAGGATCATGAGTATGCACCACTGAAGAGTCTATAAAAGGACGAAACAGCTGTCTAGTGCTCCCTGATTTTCAATGGTCCCCTAACTGAAGTCATTTTGTCATCAATCTTGAAATTAATCAAGTCCCTGCAAAAAAAACAGAAAAAGGTGTAAATGAATAAAATCAAGATTTTCACAGTGTAAAAAACTAGTTGAAAGTATGCACACATGACAACAGCACCACTTGCATGCATTATAGTTTGCTTATGGCCATTTAAAATCAAATCATGTGATATAAACCATTTCAATAAACACACACAAAAAATGATTCTTTTCAGTTGTCAATTTCAAAATTTTTGAAACATATCACGTAACATACACAACGTTAAAAACAGTTTTCAACGATAGATTATACATGAAACCGGAAAGAAAGTCTATGATTTACTATAGAAAGGAAGTTTTTGTTTTCTGCTAAGATGACAAACTTTGTTTCTTTGTTGACGGTAAAGTCATGATTTATGCATGCACTGACAAAATAACCTGATTGGACAGTTTTTAGATTCGTTGATTTATCGTTTAACTTTCTGAAGGGATTATGCTGTTACATAACCAATCAGATTTATTTCTTTTGTTATGGCTTAAATTTCTGAGATTTTGTAAATATGATTTACTATGTGTAGGTGGCCGAATAAATCTTGTCACGGTTGCTGCTATTGTTTTTGTGGTTGCCGTAGTCGTGCTTCCCAGTCTGACTTTTATGTCTACCTCAATGTGGGAGGTGTTTTCAAGTGGTCAGCTGGTTATAATAGTGTCGTGTTCTGGAAGCGCATTCTAGCCATGCTAGACTAAAACAGGACAACAGTAATACGCTGTTCATAATGTTTCCGAACAATGGATAAGGTTCTTTCTACTGACGAAACCCTAGGATAAGAGTAGGTTTTTATGCGTTCTTGTGGTTTTCCGCACATCACTCGCTTGTAGGTAATGCATTCCATGAGTGTAACACAGTTGAATCTAGAGAATAAATCTAGTGAAGAGAATAGGCAGTAGAAAGCAAAATCTTAAGCGTTTCATTTGTACTACCAAAGTTTTGTCCGTATTATTATTATTATTGGTTCTTTTAATTCCTAGAGGAACATAGGGCTTCAGCCGTGCGTCTCCATTGAGTTCGGTTCTCTGCTAGAATTTTTACCTGACTCCAAGTCTGTCCACACGTTTTCATCTCCTCTTCACATGACCTCCTCCAAGTCACCCTTGCATTGACGACCAACTCGCCGCTTCTCTTTCGGGTTCCACTCGAGCAATGGCTTGTCTAGTGATGTCACTTGATGGTTTCCTCAGAGTATGGCCAGCCAATCCATCTCCATTTCTTCCTGCCCATTTGTTTCACAATTGGTTCCTGGTTGGTTCGCTCCCAGAGATCCATCCCTGTTGCTGATCTTTTCTGGCCATCTGATCTTGAGTATTGAGCGAAGACAACTGTTAATGAAGGTCTGTAGTTTGTTTGAGATGCTCTTTATGACGCGCAGTACAAGTCTCTGATCCGTATAGTAGCACTGACTGACTTCACATTGGAGTTGAAAATCCGGATCTCATTTTTGATGCTGAGTGCTGTTGACCTCCACACAGACTTGAGAGTAGTGAAAGCTTGTCTTGCTTTTCCGATTCTTGCTTTGATATCCTCGTCAGTTCCGCCTGTAGTTGAAACGATGCTTCCAAGGTAGTTAGGTAAAAGAGGTTGTTTCTTTCAGGTTCCTTCCATTTATGCTGATTGTTGTTGTTGTTGCTGTTGGTGGTGTTGCCCAGGAATCTTCATTACCTCTGTTTTCTCTATGTTCACCTGAAGTCCTATCTTTGATGCTTCTTCTGCCAACTTGTTGCTTTTCGCTTGCATATCTTCCAGTTTGTGGTAAATCAGACATATATCATCGGCGAAGTCCAGATCCACCAAGTTTTTTGTGTGAGTCCATTTTATGCCTGTTTCCTCATTGCCCGCTGTCTGTAGCATTATCCAATCTGCTGCAATCAGGAAAATCATTGGCGATAGTAGGCAGCCAGCTTGTCTTACTCCTGTCCCCACTTCGAAGGATTCCGTAAGTTTCCTGTTGTGGATTACTTGGCCTGCAGCATTATCGTACAACCGTTGGATGAGGTGTATAATTGTCGGTGTCTGTATTTGTCTATATTAACTAACAAGAATTGAATGTATTGTATGTGTTTACGAGAATGTAAATAGTAATCAAACGATTACAAGACTTCTTACCCAATAACGAGCAATTATGATGTATGAGTCACCACTGAAAAATTGTCCAAACCAACGATTTTCAACAGGAACCCATTTACCATCGACCATAATAAATTGCTGTAAAGCACTACTCGGTTGTACAACAGACTCTTCCGGTGGTTCAATTAATTCATCATTCCATTCAACCATCATTTGTAAGGCTTCTTCATTAGTTAATGGTGTTTCTCTTGGAGCTAGTAAAGCTCGAAGATCAGTAGTGAGTTTATCTTTTTCTAAAATTTCATTAATATCGACTCCACGACGAGCTACAGAATCCGCGGTACGAGTGAAATCCACAGCTAATGCTTCATCCCAATCACAGAATTGACACTTGAAAATCTTAAATAAGAAGAAGAAAAGTTAACAAATGAAGTGAAGTGAGGTGAAGTGAATAACTGAATTAGAAACTTGAAAGCAACAGAATTTAGATTGCTTTACATTGCTTGACACTAGGAAATGTTTATGCCTTCAGCTAATTAGTGAAATTTACGCTCGAATACACCAATAATAGATGTATGCTTCTGTGAGCTGTAAAATGTTTTAGTAATCAAAAAACAAAACAAAAAAACATTCAGAGTTAACAGGCCTAAATTAGTAATTTCCTAACTTTGTTGAATATTTCAAGGAATTGTGATCCTCCATGTGCATCTGGAGCATTGAAAAAAATCGTGTTCCCCTCATAACTGAACATTATCTTACTCATAGACTTATTTACTCAGGTTATGACTGAGTTATACGCATAGTAACAATACACAAGTCAGGTGTGATGAGAAGCTGTGTCATTAATAGCAGTAGTCATATTTCCAAACTGATTGATTGACTTAGATCAATAGTAACGCGGTTCACTTACTCAACATACATTGATTTATACAGTGAATGACTGCTACATTTATTGGTTGAGATAACCTTATGGAATCAGGAGACTGTCGAGGTGAACTGAATACTTTTCTAGACCGAGATTAATTGTGAATGGAAGGTAAGTTATCAAGTAATGGTTTGCAGAGATTTGACTACGAACTGACATCAGTTGGAGAGCCACTGGAAAACCAGCTGTGAGTACTGGACAGTTGTTTCCTCAGCCTAGTTTGGGGGGCTCTTTATCAGTAAGCACCCGCTGGGATTCGAACCCATGAGTTTCCAGTTACAAGGCGAGCTCGTACACCATTCAACCACTGGGATCTGATCCAATGGCGAGTAGCTGATGTCACTTCGTCATCAAACTTGAAAGATACGTGTCAAGTTGATGAGTCAAACCTCTATCAGGCTACCACTGAAAAACTTAATAAATTGTTTGTCATCGAAGATGATCCACTACAAATTACAGATCTTCGGCGTATTAGCCAGTTTACATCATCTCTGGTGTAAACGTGATATCCGCCTACCGACCAAAGGGCGAGTGTACTGCTCAGCAGTCTGCTCCGTCCTCCTTTATGGCTGAGACCTGGCCATTGAGAGTGGAAGACATAAAAAGATTAGCTGTCTTTGATCATAGGTGCCTGCGTTCTATCTCCTGTATGAAGTGGTATAATAAGGTGAGTAATATTGAGGTTAGATGTCGGTCGAGTGCTAGGTAGGTGGGAGGGGAAATCAATCGACGAGGCTGTGGAATTACATCGACTGAGATGGATAGGACATGTGTTACGCATGCTACCCTAGCCATCGCCTTCCTCGACCGATGGTTAATGTTAGCTGACATAGGGTCAGGCTGGAAAAGAGCCTGCAGCGGTCAAACCCAAACATGGCATCAGTCAATGAAATCTACAGCAGTTAGTTTAAGCCACGTAGTTAAATATAAACTTCGTCGTTGGGGTTCTCGGGACGGTGAAAATAAATGGAGGCTGGAGACAATTGGTGAGATATATGGCTCAAAATCTCCTTGTGACTTATGATTTCAAATGAAACTACATCGTTCTTCGTTATTACTATTCCTTTATCTCACACCTCTGTTTACTGTCTCTATTTTGCATTTCTTCTCTTGCTTTGTGTGCTACATGGAGTATGGCGGCTTGAACTGCTGCACATCGGTGCAAAGTCCTATGTCAAAAACAGAGAGAAAGACAGATCTTCGTCGGCAACCAATCATTAAAAAGTTATTGAGCATATTAATAAGAAGAAGCAAAGATACAAACAAACAAATGAGATATTCACTAACCTGAGTTTCAGCTCCTTGAGTACATGGTTGTAATAATGAATCTGTAAAATCATTCCACCATTCCACTTGATCTTCATTCAATAATGCTTGACATAATGCAGTTGCACTGGGATCATTAAATAATAATTCAAGTCCACCTAAACGATTTCTAGGCATTAAACCCATTAGTTGTAAGGCTAATTTATAACCAGCAAATCGAAGAAATTTTGAAGATTTTTCACCCATCCATAAGAATAATTGACCTCCACTGTCTAAAATATACACATGTTTCGAGTCTAACAAACGTTTCGACAGTTGACCATTTTCAAGTTCCACCTAGAAACCAACAGTGATGGAATATTTTGTATTAGTTAAACAAATTGACACATATGAAAAACCAAATAAGTTTCTAGTACATGGCTCTAGGTTTATAAGGAAACTGACACTGAAACACCATTCACTGTAGATAAATCAAGGTTTCTCCATCAAGAGTGAGATAA